AGAGATGGGGTTTCACCGTGTTGACCAGGATGGTCTCGATCTCTTGACCTCGTGATCCACCCGCCTCGGCCTCCCAAAGTGCTGGGATTACAGGCTTGAGCCACCGCGCCCGGCCTGAGCTCTTTCTTAACATAAACATTTACACATAAATTTCCCTCTTAGCACTGCTTTAGCTGTATCTCATCAGTTTTGGTATATTGTGCTTTCGTTTTTATTTGTTTCAAATTTTCTTTTTTCTTTTTGAGATGGAGTCTTACTCTGTCTCTGGAGTACAGTGGCATGATCTCAGCTCACTGCAACCTCCACCTCCCAGGTCCAAGCAATTCTCCTGCCTCAGCCTCCTGAGTAGCTGGGATTACAGGCATGCACCACTACATCTGGCTAATTTTTGTATTTTTAGTAGAGTCGGGGTTTTGCCATGTTGGCCAGCCTGGTGTGGAACTCCTGACCTCAAGTGATCTGCCCACCTTGGCCTCCCAAAGTGCTGGAACTGCAGGAATGAGCCACCATGCCCGGCTTATTTGTTTTTAATTTTTAAATTTCTCCTGTGACTTCTTCTTTGACCTATTGGTTGAGTGTATTGCTAGCCAGGCATGGTGGCTCCCATCTGTAATCCCAGCACTTTGGGAGGCCGAAGCAGGTGGATCATGATGAGGTCAGGAGTTTAAGACCAACCTGACCAACATGATGAAACTCTGTCTAAACTAAAAATACAAAAATTAGCCGGGCATGGTGGTGCACATCTGTAATCCCAGCTACTTGGGAGGCTGAGGCAGAACTGCTTGAACCTAGAAGCAGAGGCTGCACTGCACGTTAGCCTGGGTGACAGAGTGAGACTTCGTCTCAAAAAAAAAAAAGAAAAAAGTGTATTGCTTTCCACAAATTTGTGATTTTTCCTGTTTTCCTTCTGCTGTTGATTTCTAACTTCATCCTGGTATAGTCAGAGAAGCTACTTTATATGTCTATCTCTTAAATCTGTTGGGACTTGTAACCCAACATATGGTCTATCCTAAATAATATCCCATGTGCACTTAAGAAGTATCTGTATGCTGTTGTTGTTAAGCAGAGTGTTTCGTATTTCTGTTAGCTCTAATTGGTTTATTAAGTCTTTTATTTCCCGATGGGCATGGTAGCTCACACTTGTTCTTAGCACTTTGGGAAGCCAAGGCAGGCAGATCACTTGAAGCTAGGAGTTCAAGACTAGCCTGGCCAACATAGCGAAACCCCAGCTCTACTAAAACACAAAAAACAAACAAACAAACAAACAAAAAGGGCATGGTGGCACATGCTTGTAATCCGAGCTACTCAGGAGGCTGAAGTGGGAGATCACCTGAGCCCAGGAGGAGGGAGACTGTAGTCAGCAAGATCTCACCACTGCACTCCAGCCTGGGTGACAAAGCAAGACTCTGTCTCAAAAAAAAAGGGTCCTCTACTTCCTTCTTATCTTCTGTATGGTAGCTTATGATTTTCTGTGCACAAACAAGAGTAAGACATAAAATATGGAAGATGACATGTAGGTAGGGTCTGGACATTTGCTTAAAAAAATCCTAATTGTCAGTATCTGTAGGTCTTTCCTCTTTGCATGATCAATTTCCTGGACATAGACTCTTTCAGAATTCTCCTTTGGAAGTATAAGTCTGAAAGAGAGCTGGATGCAAACTCATTCCTTTATTTAATCCTTTTATTTAAACATGACCCCTTAATTCTGTCCTCAAGAGTTGCTTGAGGACTCATGTCCGAGCCTCCGTAGTTCAAAGGTGCCCATTTTCTGTTAAGGTGGGTGCACAGTGAGGGAAGGTTCTGGGGATCTGCTTCCTGTATCAACCTTCAACCAACCTCCTGTTTTCAGCCCCACCCTGCACACTTGATATTGGAATTATCTGGCACTTTCTGTTCCTGATCCTTTCCAAGGTTCTACAGTGTCAAGTGGCTTACTTCTTCCTGACTCTTAGACCCTGTCCTCCACAGGCAGTTAGAAAAACTTTGCAGGGTTTTTTTCCCCCTTTCTCCTGCTAAGTCAGTTACCACTTCATCTTCCAAAATGGTTGCTCTCTGGTCTCTCATTATCTTCTTTCCTATTATCTGTCCTTGCTGGTTTACGTCTCCTTAGTTTCCTCTACTGACATTTTAGTAGGATTAAAGAAGGGAGTGAAGATATGCTCAAGTTTGATTTTGTTTACTTGGAAGTGCCAAGAGCCTAGGATCAGAAGAGAAGGCGAGGGACACTTCCAGCAAGGAAAATCGCCTACCTAAAAGTTGAAAGAGAGAACTCATGAGTCATGTGTAGCGCATGACAAGCAGATTGGTTTTGCAGCTCATATCGGACAGTTGTGGAAAAGTGAGGATCTTAGGGTAGGGAGAGAGTAGCCATATGGAAAGTCTAAAAGGCCGACGTGAAAATTTATACTTGGTAACATATTTTACATTTTATGGCACTGGCACCTATTTTTTTTTATATTTTGTAGACAGGGTCTCACTGTGCCACCTAGGCTTCAGTGCAGTGGTGCAATCGTAGCTCACTGTAACCTTGACCTCCTCGGCTTACATGATTCTCCTGCTTCAACATCCAAAGTAGCTGGGACCACAGGAATGCACAACCATACCCAGCTATTTTATTTTTTGTAGAGACATGGTCTTGCTTTGTTCCCCGGGTTGGTCTCTTAACTCCTGGGCTTAAGTGATCCTCCTACCTCAGCCTCCCAAAGTGCTGGGATTACAGGTGGGAACCACTGTGCCCATCGCACTTAATGTTTTCACATGTTTATCCACAGGACAGAGTAAGTTCATGTTTTTATAACTGTTTCATGGCTGGGTTAACTAAGCATAGAAGTGAAGTGACTTTTCCTAGGGTTACAGAGCAAGTAGCCAAAAAGCAGTAACTTGCAACTTGGAGAGAGAAGCCTGGTGAAAGCTATCTGAAGATGATCTCTGAAGAGTGATGGTGGATGTGCTGGAGACAGAGAAGCTGAAAGGCCCAGGCACTGACCAGGAACTTAGGAGTCCAGCTGATTCTCAGTATCTGCAGATTCTGTATTTATGAATTCACCCAGTTGCTAAAATTTATTTGAACCCCAAATTGCTACTTGTTTCCATGGTCATTTTTGGATGCTCAGAACACTGATAAATTCTGGTTTCCTGATGCCCACATTCCCAGCTGAGGCTGAAGAAGGCTGAAGGCGACACTGCCTTGTTTCAGCAACCGGCCTGGTATAGCATTTTAATGTCATCTTCCCTCCAAACAATTTTTGTCCCTTATCAGCATTTGGCTCCATTATCCATTCAGCTGCTCAAGCCAAAAGCTGGGAGCCATCTTGATTTCTTTCCTTCCATCCCCCACATTGCATTGACTCTGTCAACAATTTCTCTTGGTTCTACTTCTACTGGATATTTCTTTGTTGTCTCTCAGCCCCATTTCTCCCTCCTACACTCTGCTTTCTACTGCCAGATTCCCTGGCCAACTACTAAATCTCTACCAGTGGTAGGCACCAGTAGGGGAAGAGAAGGTGGGAGAAGGAGGCAGCAGCCACTGCTGTAATCACTGGTAGTGGAAGTACATACCTGTGGTCTTCAGCAGTGCCTGAGTGCAGCAGGCCCCTCCTCAGCCACTAAAGACCTGGCCACAGCTGTGCACCTCTGCTACCAGTGCTGGCAATGGCTCTCACCCCTTTAACTTATGTTCCTCAGTACCCTCCATTCTACCTTTTGCTCCTTGAGCCTCTCCATTTTTGTAACCGATTTCCCATATTATTATTTCTTTTGAGACAAAAGTTTTGCTCTGTTGCCCAGGCTTTAGTGCAGTGGTACAATCTCAGCTCACTGCAACCTCCACCTCCCTGGTTCAAGTGATTCTCTTGTCTCAGCCTCCTGAATAGCTGGAATTACAGATGCACGCCACCACACCCAGCTAATTTTGTATTTTTAGTAGAGATGGGGTTTCACCATGTTGGCCAGGCTGGTCTCAAACTTCTGACCTCAAGTAGTCCACCCATCTCAGCCTCCCAATGTGCTGGGATTACAGGCCTGAGCCACTGCACCTGGCCAATTCCCCATATTAAACACCCTCTTTTTTTTTTTTTTTGAGACGGTGTCTTGCTCTGTTGCCCATGCTGGAGTGCAGTGGTGTGATAGCTCACTGCAACCTTCGCCTCCTGAGTTCAAACGACTCTTCTGCCTCAGTCTTTTTTTTTTTTTTAAAGATGGGGTTTCACCATGATGACCAGGCTGGTTTTGAACTCCTGACCTCAGGTGATCCACCCACCTTGGCCTCTCAAAGTGCTAGGATTACAGGCATGAGCCACTACGCCTGGCCTCTTCTGCCTCAGTCTTACAAGTAGCTGGGACTACAAACGCACGCCACCACACCCAGCTAATCTTTGTATTATTAATAGAGACTGAGTTTCACCATATTGGCCAGGCTGGTCTCGAACTCCTGACCTCATGATCCACCCACTTCAGCCTCCCAAAGTGCTGAGATTACAGGTGTGAACCACCATGTCCAGCTAAACATCAGCCCTTTGTTAGAAATAACTAGCATGGTTTCAGACTTTCTGACTGGAGCTTGGCTGACATAACTCCAAAATATTTCCTGAATCTATTCATCTCTACTATTGCCACCCCAGTCACCTCTCACCCAGATTTCTGCAATAGCTACGTTCCCTGAGACCACAACCAGACCAGTCTGGAGCCAGACAGCCTGTGAGGAAGGCAGCATTAACTGGAGAGAGACCCTTAGAAAAATTAAATTCCAGGAGAAAAATTGTTCGCCTTGACTGCCGATCTTGGAGGATTGGAGTTTCATTTTATTTCACAAAACTTGTTTCCTTAAACTACTCTTCATTTAATGCCCATTACTAAAGTTCCTTGTCTCTGCCTTATGCTCAGTCAGCCTCTTCTCCTTCATATTAAAGAGAGTAATCTGACAAGAGAGCATTTGATTTATAAAATCTTTACCCACTAACTTTTAAGAATGAAAAAAAGAAACCAATTTCATCCCTCTCCCAAAAAGGGTATCTTTTAAGCTTTCCTCCCAATCCCTCCATGGAATCTCAGAAATTCCAATTCTTCTAACTCAAATCCCCACAGCAGTGTAGATGCATTAACTCCCTGGGGACAGCAATTTGAGGCAGGCAGGTTCACTAAACAAATGTGTGCAGTGCCCCCTGGCAGAGAGGACAGCAGGACATGTACTGCCATTGAGCCAAGCTGTGGCATAGGCAAGGACATCAGGTGGCTGACAACGATCTGTCCATCTCAGCTGGGGCAGAGGGGCCAGCTCAGCCTTGAAACAGCAGCTTGGGAGGTGTCTCAGCTGAAGGTTAATGTCTCCATGTCTCCAGCTTGGGAGGTGGAGTTGGATGAAGGAGTGAATGCTTTCTTGCCTTCAGCGAGAGCTTTAAAATGCTGCAAGGAAAGAGGAGAGGGAACACTGAGTATTAGGGATATGCTAGTTGCTATATTTTAGCAAGAATTAATTTCTTTAATGAACCCCCTTTTATTTCCTTCCTGCTTCCATTCATGAGGCCACTTGGTTCTCCTGAAAGAACAAGTGTCTTCTGTAGATCCTCACCTAATTTCACCTAAGGCCCACATCTCCTACTTACCCCCACCCTTCTTTTCCCTCCACTTTCCCTTTTAAAACTCCATCCCTGCCTCCTTTGTTCTCCTAATTATGGGAAATGTCAAAGGTAACTGGGCAGACACATCCTACATCCCTAGAGGATACAATCACAGCAGGCTCAGAGCAGTAGGAACTGTAGGGATACTCTCTACAGCTTAAGTCAACCCCTGAGGCTTGGCTTACCTGTGAGTTCTTGAATTCCGAGTACAGGGAAAAAAGCAGATGGAGGGACTGGATCCGACTCTTGTAGACAGGGATGTCTAGAATGGCTGAAATGAAGAAGAACTTCCAGGAACAGAACCAAACAAACTCTGGGAATTAGGGGGCACTTCTGTTGAAGCTAGACAAGCCCCTGCCAGATGGGATGTTACTGTGACTTTGGGACTTAAATACCCAGCAGGTAGTCACATAAGCCCAAACACCACCTTTGAGTGCTGCCAAAGAGCACAATGGGCTTAAAACGAAGGCTGAAACTCAAGATGCTATCTTCCCAGAGTAAACGATCCTGTCCAAAAGCCTAGAGCATCTCTTTCCAGATATGGGGATGAGGAAAGGAAGGAGGAACTCACCACAGACTATGTCAATGTACTCTGCCAGGCTGCAATCAATCTCTGCTGTGGGCAGGCTTACCTGGAAGGGGCGTGGGACGGACCAAAGTCAAAAGGCTGGTGTCAGTGGTCCCAGCACCACTCCCTCTCTCTGAAGGAAAAGAGCTTCTAGCATAAGACACATGTTACAGGCTGAAATGTGTTCCCCTAAAATTCAGATACTGAGTTCCTAACTCCCTATACTTCAGAATGTGACTATATTAAGTTAAAACAAGGTCATTAGGGTGGGCCTTAATCCAATATGACTGGTGTCCTTATAGGATGAGGAAATCAAGACAGAGACATGTAACACAGGGAAGACCATGTGAAGACACAGAGAGAAGACAGCCAAGGAGAGAGCCCTCAGAAGAAATCAACCTTGGTTAGGCACGGTGGCTTCATACCTGTAATACCACCACTGTGGGAGGTTGAGGTGGGCAGATCGCCTGAGCCCAGGAGTTTGAGACCAGCCTGGGCAACATGGTAAAATTCCATCTCTACCAAAAAAATACAAAAAAATTAGCCGGGTGTGGTGGTATCTGTAGTCCCAGCTACTTGGGAGGCTGGAGTGGGAGGATCGCTTGAGCCCAGCAGGTCAAGGCTGCAGTAAAGCAAGATCAAGCCACTGTACTCCAGCTTGGGCATAGAGTAACACCCTGTTTCAAAAAAAAAGGGAAAGAAAAGGAAAGGAAAGGAAGAAGGCAGGCAGGTAGGCAAAACAAAGCAGAGAGGAAGGATGAAGGAAGGGAGGAAATCAAGAAGGAAGGAAGGCAGGCAAAGCAAAGAGGAAGGAAGGAAGGAGGGAAGGAGGGAGGGAAGTCAACCATGCCAAAAAACTGATCTTGGACTACTGGACGGCTAACCTCCAGAACTAGGAAATAATACATTTCTTATGTCTAAGCCACTCAGTCTCTGGTAGCCTTTGTTATGGCAGCCTAGCAAAGTAACACAACATGGTCCTTTTTGCCCCCGATCAGTATGGAATTATAAGTAAAATCTACTGCCATACTCTCTTCCTGTGGGAACCTGTGGAAAAAAAAACTGATACCAAGTTATGGCCAAGTATTAATAGTTACACAGTATATGCATTACTTGGTGTTATAATGCCTCATGATTCCAGGACACCATACGAACAGAGAAAACGGACATGACATCTAACTCAGGTAGCAGGTTCTGGATCTAAACAAGTCACAGTGTAAGTTTTTAAACTACTGGTTTTTTAAAACTTCTTTTCTCTTTTTACAAAAAATGGGGCACATATCATTCTGCAACTTGCTGCAACTTGCTTTTTTCATTTTAACAACGTATCACTGCTATTTCTTCGTATTAGAGCAAAATAAGGCCAAATAATATTCCATTGCATGGTATTTCACTGAATGCAATCTAGCTATTCATTCCCCTAATCAGACATTTTCTCTCAACTACAGCTTTAAAATGCTCTGAGGAAAGAGACTTTCCAAATTCTTTGCGTTTACAATCAATTCCTCATACACACACACAAAATCTGTCTTCACAGAGCTTACATTTTAGCAGGGAAGAACAAAATAAGTAATTAAGGTCTATAGTATGTTAGAAGTTACTGAGAAAAAGCAGGGACAGAAGTCAGGGAATGCTGGGGAGCTGGTGCAGCAATTTAAACATGATGGCTAGGAAGGACCTGTTGGTCATCTTTGTTCAGTTTCCTTTTCTTTTTTGATACCTTAAAAATTTGTTTTTTAGATAGTCTTGCTCTGTTTCCCAAACTAGGGTGCAGCGGTGTGGCCTCAGCTCTCTGCAGCTTCTACCTCCTCGGTTCAAGCAGTTCTCCTGTCTCAGCCTCCCAAGTAGCTGGGATTATAGATGTGCACCACCAAGCCTGGCTAATTTTTTTGTGTTTTCAGTGGAGGCAGGGTCTCACCATGTTGGCCAGGCTGGTCTCAAACTCCAGACCTCAGGTGATCCATCCACCTCAGCCTCCCAAAGTGCTAGGATTACAGGCATGAACCATCGTGTCCAACTC